AAACCCACTTCAATCCACTGAAAACCTATTTCGCGCCATAACTCGTGTCCCCTTTGTCCGCTGCAAAAATTTTTTGCATATCCGTGATCAGCTACATGAGCCCTACAAAACGATATAGGTCTCATTCCGAAAGGCGGGGGTAAGTTCGTGAGGTTTCCTAGTCAGCAATTTATTCAACGAATTATCATTCAATAAATTATCCAACGAATTATTCAATGACATGAAGCCTATAATAAAATGCAGTTAACATATAATTCAGTGCAGTTATTCAACGATCATTCAACAATTATTATTCAACATATAATTCAGTGCTGTTTGAAATAAACTCTGAGAAACGTCGATAGTTCCGTTGCTTGTTAGAGCGTTGATAGTTCCGTTGCTTATTTGCGTTCTTAGTTTTGAACAAAAGAAGGAAAGCTTGAGAAAACGCGCTCGCTTTGGGCACTCGTTGCTGGAATCGTTTCGGTAGACTCGTGCAATTTTTTCATATTCGATGTCATTTCCCTTGTCTCTTCGTACAAATGCGTTCCAGAGATTACTCTGCTCTTCGCGTCATTGCTTCTTTTGCAGCTTACGGAACTTTCACACCTTTCGGAAGTTTCAGGACTCAGCATCAGTATTTTCCTCCAGAGAAGTATATCATCGTCATTCGTATTCTAAGAAGAGTCTGTTGCTATCGACGAGATCATCATTTTGTTCTCTCTCCGTACTGATGAGTCTCGAAGACAAATCCACCATCAGCTCTATAATATTTTTTTTCATAGTCGCATATCCCATATAATCTATTCCCTTCTGCACGTAATCAGGATCGTTCATATATCTCGTCGAGTGCACCATAATTGTTAATCTACACTAGTGACTGGGTCCGAGCGAAATTTTGGTCGATCGGAATCCGACCAAAACAGCATATTGTCGTTTCGACACTCGGAGTTCCTACCGACTTTCCAAATTGCTCGGTCAGAATTCGACCGTAGGAATTCCAAGCGAAACTGTCGGATTTGAAACTCGTTGATCCTTAGCACAAGTGCATGCAAGAGATCATTAGCGACATTCGTATTCAGTTTCTCTAATGCATCGACGAAGAACTCCAGCGTTTTATCTGCTTTGAACAAATTGATGTCTCGACGACAATGTGTTCGTAGCAACTTCGAAAGCTACGTCTGCTCAATTTCATCAGAGCATTTTATAAATTTTTTCGACATCATGTTCCAAAAAGGGTGATGCACAGCACATTTTACTTCATCTGAATGATCTGGGAATGATTAATGCGTGATTCGAGATGAATTTATTGCCAAAATCATATGAAATGACTTGCTTCCTCAAATCCTGAGATAGTGACACCAGTGATATTGGTAATAACAGAGAGGCATAAACTCGTAATGAGTTGGATTTGCTAATTGAATAAATAAATCCCAGGATCGGGATCAGAACTCAAATCTCGGCATCCCGTGCGAACCCTACGACGCAACCATAATTTTGTGCGGTGATGGTTGTCAATTTTATTATCAATAGAGTAACGATTTGAATGATTCGATCCTGAGAAGATTTTGGTGTGAACTGGTGAAACAACTGTGCGATTCAGTACATTTGGCAAATCGGGTCTACGACAATGTGCCACTGCGTGTGCCTCGTCATCGAGTAGAATGTTGATTTTTGTTAGAGTTAACTTGTCGCAGATGCATTTGTCGGTCACCCGTCAAGTTAGTTACCTGCGAATGAGCTACATTTTTGATTAAATACCAAGTAATTGTAAAATCGCCTGTTGAAATGAGCAGTCTTAGAGCCACACAATGCACAAGCGAAAAATCTAAATCTGCACATTGTGATCAAATGAGCGATTTTATTGAACTTAGCTGGTTTCACGTCAGTGTTTTTCACTTCTTACGTACCATTTCAAGAAAGTTGCTCATTAATGTTGTTTGAAAGCATTAAGAATTTCATGAACTCTTTAATTTTCGTTATATTTTCACGAATCATTACACGAAATTATTCACCGTTATCTCTAATCACAACCACTAGAAACAACGCTGTTGACTGCCGTTAATGTTGTTTTATGCCTATGCTTGCCTCTCAGTTTCCCTATTATAGAGTAAATCAAAAATCTGTCTTAAACTTTATTCATGTATTCATGCGTTTACTCATTTCGATGACATTGTCGTTGTTGTGTTACTTGTAATATTTGATCAAACAGCTAAATTTTTAAAATACGTTCACAAATTATTTTAACAAGCTTCGTTCTTTCAGTTTCTTTTCAAATTCAATCGCTTAATTGAATTGGTTGATGGTTGAGAATATGGTTAAGAGCAAGTGAATACTGAGCCTTAAGGCTGGTCGTCTATCATACAGTCAGTGCTAGTTTCAATATATTCTCATCATTGTTATCCTGACCATCCTTTTTTAAAGATCATCGCTGCCATGATTATTATTACTAAGATTTTCGAACGACCTCATATCGGACTGCATTTCAGATGAAAATTTATTTTGTTATAAATTAAAACGGATAGTTTTTAGCTGGAACGCAATATGAAACTGAAAGAGGTGACTCAATGGGTTGAAGCGAGTGGTGTTTTACCACCAGCACCTTGGTGCAATGGTGATTGGCAATCAGTAATGGCCTTACTGGCTCGCCTTTTGGCTGATAATCTCATTCAAAGGTTGAAAAATGATCATTATTCTATAATTATTTCGTTTTCGTCTAATTGTGCTGTCTCCTGAATTGCAAGTTTTCAGGAAACAATCGCAAGAAATGGTTGATGTAACATTTAAAATTGCATTCGACTCGGTGAGTTGGTTTATTCGGATGCAGAATTTTTCAAAATTTCATTCACTTCTGAATAAATCGATATATTCGCGATAAGAATTTAAGATGATGCAATTGGCACAAGATGTGTTGGGTATACCGATGCTAGTTACAGAGGCCGATTTACCTGCAGCGGCACCAGGCGTCAATCTTGCGTTGTTAACCACCATTGTTTGCATTAAATCATCAGTGGATATTGAACCGAGTCAGTGGATAATATTTCAGATATTGCTGTAGTTATTGTTGTTATTATTTACTGTATCGTTTTTGAAGAGATAATCAAAAAAGCAATTATACCAAAATTGGTGTTCGAAGCACGTAATTCGGTGGCCCGAAAAGAACAACTCACGGTTGATTGTGCGATTTGTATGCAGCATGTTTTCATCATCGAGAGGATTGTTGTTGATCATGTCAGTTTTACTAATTGTATTGTTGTTCTTTTCGATATTATTTTCATTATGTTATCGTTATTTCATAGTCGAATTGGTTTGAAAATTGACTTTGACTTTCAGGTAATCTATCATCGTAAATGCTTTACATGTGCGCGATGTGATGAGATTCTACGAAATGGTTTATATCGACAATTAAAGAGCGGTAAATTTGAATGCATTGAGCATTGGCCTCAGGCAATACTATCAAATGTTGAAAAACAGAAAATGGTGGACGTTAGAAGCAATAGAGAGTCACATCATCATCATCCAAAGCAAAAACCACCAACGCCACCAAAACCAAAGAATCTCCTCAGTGCTTCTGCAATTAAGCGACCTTCATTCATCAGCAATGCCAATCCACCTGAAGTTTTGTACGAAGAAGTGTCAGGCAATTATGAGAACAATCATTTTGCTACAGTTGTAACCAGCAACAGCAGTACTGCCACCGAATTGACATCAGCGATATCCGAAAACATTCCATCAGACCATTCGACAGTTCCAGAAACGACTGATGCTGTTACTGTTGAGAGTGTTTGTGAAGAAGGGATGGAGAAAGTTACTGTCGAAGATGAAAAGATCACTTCATCTGAAATCGAAAGTGATTGTGTTCGTTTGCATATGCGTAAAGCAAATGAAAACGTTGCAATTAAGCAAAGCAAATTAGAGTTGTTCGGAAACAAAGTGAACGATTATGGACAGAGAAAGAGAGATGAAGAGAGAAGGGTGGTGGAAAAGGATTCATCATTAATTGTAAAAGTTGCAGCAGTATGCGATCATGAGGTAGTGCCTTCATCACAACTCCAAGCTCCAGTGCCACCACCACGACCAAAACGTCGTAGTATTTTGTTGTTAACCAGTACCGATGTGGCTAGTTCAAAAGGTGCGAGCGTAACTCCAACACCTGAAAGCGTCGTTTCGTCTGATTTTAATCAACAGAAACCAACACCTCGTCCACGTATCGTGAAAACTTTTGATAGCAAAAGCTTGCAACGAACTAATGATGCAGCTGTTACATCAGACGGTGTTTGGTTAAACTCGTCCACTTGTCCAAACCAACCACCACTGATTAGTAATCAAAACAGCGACCATACCATACCCAAATCAGCAGTCAGCAGTGTGGTAGATTATCCGAATTTTTTGAATCCCTTCGGATCTGATGACGATAACGATAACGACGATGATGAAGTGGGTGTTGATTCGTTCAATCATTTGTGTTTTTATTTATATGTTTATTTATTTATTTATTCATTCATTTCTTTATTTATATATTTGATCAAACAGTAAATCATTCGCAGTGGATCGCTGTTATCTTTGAAGGAATCTGCGGACGATAGTGATGACTCGTACGATAAGTCATTGAATCCGTTTGATGATAGTGATTTAGAAGCGGTTTCGATGACAACGTCAACAACAACTCGTAGTCGTGAAGTGCTCAATACTCGATCAGTTTCGAAAAATAATTCGGTCGTATCTGCTGCGAGAAGGTGAATAGTATCTTTTTTGTATTACATATACAGAAGAGTTTTGAATGAACTCGATATATGTTTTTGGGTGAAGTTTGAGTGAGTTGATTTTCAGAAGATTTCTATGCAAACGTCTATTCTGTCAGTAAATTTTTGCTCTTCATTGGGCATGTAATGTGATATGTATTGGTTATCATCGACTTTATTCACCTATCCCCTCCTCCAAAATTGAGAAATTGTTTTTGAGTGGGAAGAAATCACCGTTGGTTGCGCAGCGATTACCGGGTGTTTCAAATCGACCGAAGTCACAGCCACCCCCTCCACCAAAACCACCGCGTCCATCACTTGCGGATTCACCGTCTCCCTCATCGGCATTATTATCGTCAACTAATCTCAACAATAATTCGTCACAGTCCGCCATCATGACTCTACCAAGAATAAAGAGCAAACAACAACATATACCAGTTCGTAGAAAAGTAAGTTCATTTTCCCAATGAGTAATCAGTGAGCAGCCATTCAAAATTGAAAGGAACCGAAAGTATTCTTCGAAAGTTATACATTTATGTATTCTTTTTCGTAGTATAAATATGAATCGTTTATTCAGATAATTTTCACCGAAACAGAGCACGAGAACAGTGGTGATGATAATGATGACGATAAAAATTTGCAATTAGAAGCAATAATGGATCGTGTTCGTGGAATCGATAAAGAATTAGATGTGATCGAATTGAATGGGAAATGTATAGAAAAAGAATTACTCTTTGCAATTGAACAGAGTTAGTTTAGTCAATTGTTTTGTTTCATTCCATTTATTTTGCCAACATCAAGCGTATTCGTTTCGTATTTATGCTTTTTTGCGTATAATTAAATGAGATGCCTTAAAGTTGTATCTTTTATGAATAAGTCGCTTATAGACGGCTCAGAATGGGTGAAAAATCGACGGGTAGACGATTGGATCACAGTGATTGAAAGACGTTGCGAACTTGATCGACGACAGTCGGCTTATATTATGAAGTTTGTTAATATTATAAATACTATCATTTATGTTGTGCAACTATGCATTGATATTGTAGTTTGATGCAGCTGATAATTATATACTCATCTTTCAATCAGTAATATGCATCAAAATGATTGTAGATGGCTGGAGAGGTATTTGAACGAAATTCATTCAGATACCGAATATCAACTGAGATGTCTCATCGAAAATGTTGCTACAGGTTCGTTCTTTGTTTATTTGTTCGTTTTTTGATTTTTGTCGTTATTCCTTCGTGTTGTTATTGCTAATCAGCAACCCTGAATAATTTCTCTTCCTTCTTAGCAGATCCCTTTCTTTAATAACTTGACAAGTTCATGTCCACTAGGATCGTTGATCAACAAAATATGGTATCAGATGGTTGAAACTGAGTTATTTTGCAGCAGATAGAGCACCATTTAACGTAGAGCGTGAAGCGAAACTATTAGAGTTGCTCGTTGAAATAATCAACGAAAAGAATAGACTGATCGAATCGAAAATCGACTCCTCAGCCATAATTGATTGTTCATCAAGTTCAATTGGTATTCTTCTTTTTCATCACCATTTCCTCTTGATTCGTTTCCATCATTTTTTGTTTTTTTGTAAACGCTTCATTATTCGTTTACGATCGATCAATTTAGGTATAATGCAAAATGAAAAAGACGAAACGGCAAAGAAACGTATTAAGAAACGTTTGAAAAAGTTACGCAGAAAAGTGAAATCATATGCAAAAGAGAAACATCACCACCAGCATAACAACAACAACAACACTTCTGAGTAGTGGAGTTAGTTAGACGGAATTTAATTGAGAACAATTGTGTTGTTTGCAAATTTGATATTTGTTTTTCCTCTTACCAAACACATTCCTCGTAATTTCTGTTTGAATATAATCGTTTTCAAACAAGACTATCTGGTATTATTTTGAATGTGTTTTGAATTTTCTCATTTTATCTTCTATTTATTTGTTCATTCTTTTAAGGTCATTGATAGTCTGTTTTGTTTGCGTTTGAATGTTATCATAATAGCTTTTATTATCGTATTCATTTTTAATTGTACAACGGGTTAAGTTGTAGTTGTATTGTTTGATTCATTTCATTCAATTCATTATAACGTCAGTCACTATGAGAGGTATTATTGTTTATTTCAAACTGATGCAACTATTTATTTTTGTACATACCACTTTACGGCGGAGTGGTGTTTCATTCGTTTTTTTTTAAATTATTAGCGTCATTATTATTATCATTATTATTATTATTACTGTTATTATTATTATTATTATTATTATTATTGCTATTACTATTATTATTATCATTATTATTCATTATTATTGTTAGTATTATTATTATTCATTATTACATACTGCAGTTATACTTTGATATTATTATTCTTACTGATCATAATTGTTTAACCGTGATATTTGGTTTCTTTCTTGGAATGTTCATTGCGCATTTACTTACTCGTCATTTTGTTGTTATTCGATAGGTTCATTTAACTCGGTGATCGTTTTATCATTTTCTGAAGAATGATCAATTGCATTTTGGTGAATGCTCATTATTTTAAGGTGGGATTATTGTTGTCTTGTTATTATTTGTTGTCGGGATTGACTCGTTACCGATGTTTGTTTGCTTTTCGTTTTTTACTGGATTGATCATATTATCAGTGTGTTGGTGTCACTGTAATTTATGTGTGAGTGTGTGTCTGTTTGTGTGCTGAGTTGTTATCAGTGCGCAGTTAATCAGTTATTGCTGAATTAATTTATTTAAAACATTTCTAATATTTTATCAAGTAAACTTTCTCATCGATGCGTTTCGTTTCACTTTTGAATGTAATACAATCACGTGTGGTGTTGTAAAATTACCATATATAAATACATATTTTGTACGTATTATTTTTTATTCAGGATACAGATGTATGATTTATTACTGTTTTGTTGATTGCTTCGGATTTTATCGAAGAAGTTTTTAATAATAGTAGTGATGTCAGCAATTGTAGGACGATGATAACGACAGTAAGAAAGCTTCATTTTATTTTATTGTTAAGTGTGTTATATTGTTGCTCTTTTGAAGTTTGTCGTTCTCTTGGGCACGTTATACGTTTTTCCGTTTTTTCTATAGTTTAGGGGTGCTGTGGTGAGCTGTGAGAACTATCATATGTAGATATATTTTGTATCGAAAATTACTGAATTTGCGGTTGATGTCCATCAACTATGGAAGTACCGTTTTTTGAAGATAATGGCTTTTGGTGGTAAAATGTCATCGCGCGAAATGATGAATATTGATTTTGAGTCGATTCGGACGGGTGTTGTTTTTGATGAGGGAATGGGTCGTGTGGTACCACCGAATCTGTTGTATGGTGCTACAGCTGCGCAGTCACCGAAGGTTCATTATTTTCGACATCATTCTCGAATGGCAGTTCGCGCATCACATCTACATTTATTGTTGAATTTATCTCGGCCGTTATACGTTTGCATTTGCCATGTTTTATGAGTAGCGATGTTTGAACACTGTACGACAAAAACCTTCCGGCTCATAGAGCCATCCTAACTGCACAAATAGTGACATGGTCGTAATCCGATTATGATTAAGAGCAATAATGATAATCACAATAACAACACATTTAGTCATCGCAATTGCAATAATAATAACAACATTCAGAATGATAACAGTAATAAAGGTGACGGTGATTAAAAAAACAATTATGATATTAATAATGATAGAATTATGAACAGTGATCATATTCAGTGCTAATACTAGTATAATGGCATTTCGGTTCATGAACTTGAATCGTTCGTTAGTTCGTAAACCGAAGCGCGTTTTGCCATAGTAATCAACGGAAAATGAGTTATTTTGTTCGAACGCATGCAACTCTCCTTAATGTAAATTTTGGTTGATAATACAAAGGATAACAATTGTAATGACATAACAACACGCCTTAATTGGGTAGTTTTATTGAAGACGTGAAGCACAAGACATGTACGGCAAGTTTATTTATTATAAATGAACAAGAGTAGAAAATTTTTGGTTCTGTTAGGATTGCATTCCAGACTACTGCATGAGACCAATGATGCAGGTTTTATTCGGATTCTGATTCGTCTTTGAAAAGTTCTGGAGTACGTTGAGATGGTACATCAGACTTTTGCTTCATTAAAGAAATGGTACCAGGACTTGCTTACGATTCCATGTCTTACTGTGTACTTGTATAAAAATTAATAAATGAGGAATTCTTGATTAGGTGCTTTTGTACAGAAGGCATGATAACTAACTGGTGTAGCTAAGACTTTATGCCAGCGAACCACAGCACTGATGAAAACGACCGAATTTGCTAGATGAATAGTGTTCAGTGGGTCAAACATTACCAAAGACTAGTCACAATTCGTCATGTATTTCCTGTTAAGCATAAATATGCAGACCAAGTAATTCTGATCTCTGACTGAAATGGTTCGTAAAATGAGGCGAATTTATAAACGGAAGCAGATTTTTGTAAACCGAGGTTCCACTATACTGTTGCTGGTAATGATATTATCAATTACGATAATAGAGGTGGGTGAAATTATAAGTATTATGACGGATTATAATAACCTGATAATTGAGAGCACTTGTACACAGTTGTTTAGAGAATGGTGATGAAGATTTGCTTCTTCAATAGTTTTTGTGAATAATTTTTCTCGACATATATCCACGGTTACATTTATCGATGTATGTTAGTTATGGTGACTTTCAGCTTATGGTTAACCAGTGAATTACTAACATAAGATGTAACGATGCCAAATGTGTTTTATACGTAATGCGTATTAGTAAGTGGTGATATTCAGATGATATTCAATTAAAAGGAATCTTGATACAAAATTAGAAGAAATGAAAATAACGGAAACTGCGACAACTTCTTTCACCTGTGAATGTCCAAGCAATGTTTTTAATTAGAAAATTGAATTAGGTTTAATTTAATTGATAGAAAAAGTTAGCTGATATAATTTCGTGACTATTATTATTCGTTTAACTGTAAGTACGCATGCATCCATGTATCAATCGAATTAAGTGCTGAACAAATCGGTAGTTATATAAATAAATGTTGAAACTTCGTTTTTGAAAAGGATTGATACAAATGAAATGAACGTTTAGTCTCAAATGAATGGCTACGAAATAGTGATTGAGCAGACTTGGGATGGTCATCCGGTGACACACGACCCGATACGTGTTCGTATGGAATGGCATTTCGAGCGACAACCCGGTAGACCGCATAAACGCTGTGTACGAGTCCTTCTCGAATCACCACTCTTTGACGATCCGGATCCACCACCGCAATTGCCTGGTATTTGTCCTGGAGTCAGTTCCTTTTTGTTTGTTTCCTTTCATTCGTTCGTTTACGTATGTATTGCATTTCGTTCGGTTTCAACGTATTTTACACTACCATTTTTGAAAAGTTCAGTGTTTTTTGATATCAGCTCGTTGAATTCCATTTGGATGATCGTGATTTTTAACGGATCTGTCAACGCCATTTGCTAATTATTTGGAGATGTAAGACACCTACTTGAATCCATAGAATGCCACTTACCAATTACTTATCAATCAAAAACGGCACTCTTCTAGACCTAATGCCTTCTGTTGCAGTTTGAGCAAAATTTTTTCTGTGTTAAGAAGAGACGGTTCTCTCTTATCAATTTTCTGTCTGCTTCCATTACAAACCCCGCCTGTATCGTTCACCATATCTATCTAGCACTTGAGAGGTTTTTTTTTTTCAATGAAGGGGATGAAGAGGCCGAGAGGAGAACGAATCCGAGAAAGTTTGAACACTATAAAATTGTTGGTGATCATAACAAACCTCTGAACACGATTACAAATGATCAGAATATTTCATTCACCTGAATATCGAAAGTCATTGTAATCCATTTAAACGTACTGCTTGCAGAGGTTACGCATAACAATTTTGATCGCAGAGTTTGTTTTTGTGTTTCTTAATACACAATCGCAACAAACAGATAATTCCTTTCACGATTTACTACTGAAAGCTACTAGAAGCTGTATAATGATCAGTTCTGTGCGTGACGGTATGGATAAGCTTCGTGGGTTCAGATTTCATGATGTAGTTACTAAGAGTGTCATGGAGATGATGAATTCGAGGAATGGTTTGCATCACTTGGTTTGGTGCATAGTGTTAAAGCTGTGCTAGTCTGTGATTATGATGGAGAGATGAAACTGACGAAATATGGAAAAAATAGATTCTATCGATGTGTAAAGAAACGCTGTAGGAAGACATTAGGGTATTTGGCCGCTACAATTCTGGAAGGTGCTCACTTATCTTCGAAAGATGCCTTCCAGCTATCATATTACTGAACTGATGCATAGAAAGGTATATTTATTCTGATATACAGCGTGACATGAAAAGAAAGCACTGAAGCACCGTGGGATTAGACACATTGGTTGACTTGATTAATTCTTTCCGTCAAATTGTAGTGCAATATTACACTGATCATCCAGTGCGCATTGGTGGGCTTGGATGTGTAGTCGAAATAGGCGAGACAGTGCTAACTCGTCGCAAATGTAGTATATGGAAAGTGAAGAAACAACAGTGGATCTTCGGTGGAGTAGAAAGAAATAGCAACGGGTGTTTCATGGCACCTGTAGAAAGAAGGAATGCAGAGATTTTTCTGCCTGTTATTGCCGACAAAATTTTACCGGGCACCGCTATTGTGTCCGATCTGCGGTCAGCATATGGTGATATCAAGAATCTGCCACAAGGTTATCAGCATGGGAGTGTGAATCATTTGAAAAATTTTGTTGATCTGGATACCGGGGCTTGCAACATCGCAGTGTAGTCAATGTGGCAAAATTTCAACGCCAAATACAAGTCACGATTCGGTTCAGAACGTAAGTTATTGTCGACCTGTGTAGAACAGTTTATTTGGAATAAGGAATTTAGGGGAGAAGACTGCATATTCAACTTGTGGAAGCATATAATAGGAATTTACCTTTTATAATGCAGGGCTAGAATAGCACAGCTTAAACCCAGTGACCTTCTTTAAGGTCACCAATGACATAAACCAAACTTAATTTCATAATTTTCACAACAGTGTCATTCACTTTTATCGAAGACCATTGTCTAAGGTCTTAGATATGCTCAGCTAAGTGATGCATTCATCGTAGGAAATGTTGCACATGCGTAGACGCATACGAAAGTGGCAATATGGCGTATATAAGAGAGGAGATGAGGTAAAATACAACAAAAGAGAGATGTGATGTAATCAATGGACGGAGGTATTGATCTTCAAATGAGAGATCTTGGACTTGGAAATTTTGCTCGAGCTGCGACAAGAAACAGTAGGTTCAAAAGAGGGCCTTAAAATCTGCGGCTGTGATCATCCATATCTTATGACTTCATTTTTACGGGTGAAACATCAATTTCCAACTACGAAGAGAATTGCCGTTTTTTCAAGTACTAGAAAAGTTATTTGCAAGAATCAGTTCTCATTTTATTGGGTTCATGTGATTCGAAAGACTGGATTCTATGCAACAGGTACAGTGCGTCGACACCACATCAACCTTATGAGTATTGCGAGTCAAAGTACTCGATGCGAATTTGGGGACAGTGGCGTTTGCCGAGTTTTTCTGGCCGTTTAATACATGCATGTGAACTGAGTTCAGCAAGTGCATTCATTGGACAGAATTATTGTTTGTCAATTGTAGTTTGTTAATTTTTAACTGCGAAGTTGCTTGTTACCACTGATTTTTGCGATTACTTTCCGAGGCATGGCTCATTGTAGTATGATGTTGTCTTTGAAATAGCAATGGGTCTGTCTGTAGATGTCGTTAAGAATCTGATATAAGTGAATTGTTAAAACCAATCAGTCTTTCAGTTGTGGAACTATGAAGTAGTTGAATTGTTTTTTGCGAATGCCAAAAAGCAATATTTGGAAGTGGAGGTGGGCCCTCACGGTCATTGGTTATGCGTTCTATTGGACGGTGTACGTAAACCGTTTAATACAGGTGAAGAATTGCAACTGGAAGTGCAAAATACTTTTGTGGGTGGCGATATATGGCGTTGTTGCTTTGATATACCACTCGCCTATTTTCCAGCTGGTATTATTCATTTTATTTATTATTATTATTGATGTTGATTATAAATTTATGTGGATATAACCGAGCAATGGAGGATTAAAAGTTGAAAAATTTTGAAAGGAGTGGAAACATTCAACGCGTATGCAATTCATGGTTCGGGTGAGGAACGTGTCTATGAGGCATACTCACCAGTAACAGACGGTTCTTATGATGAGCCAGACTTTCATCGACTTCAATTCTTCAAACGAATCGATATAAGACGCTTGATTCCGGAAGGTTTCAATTCGAGTTCGTATAATGACTTGAAATATGGTGATGTTTGGGAAGGAAGGTAGATAGATTGTTGTTGATTTGATCTGATGACGTAAGAATTTAACGATTGATGAATTGTTTATTTGAATACGATTGAGAATTTTGAATATATTATTATTATTATTATCAGTTCATTCACTTTGCTTTTGTCGTCTTTCTTATCGTTTGTTTATTCACTGAACTCTTTTTTGTAATATTATTGCGTACAGTTGTGATTATTGAAGTGAAAGCGAACATTTGCTCATCATGTTCAATCAAAAATGTATTTTCATTTCATCTCGTAAAAATCTTTCAGAGATCAATTCTTGGTGCAATTTTACGCATTGATTATTATTATTGTTATAACCACTAGTGTTCGTCAGGAAACGGGGTCCCCGCCGGGGATCCCGTTTCCCGAAGATTCCCCGACAATTCTGTTCATCAGCTTTTTGTTTGGAGATCTTCCCGTTCACTTTACTCCTTGGCATGGTAACCCCCTCTCCATCCCCCCCTCTGGCCAAAAAGTTGCTCCCCGCCGAACCCTAATAGCTACTATTATTATTACTTTATTATAATGTTATTGTTATTATCGATATTATTGATATTGTTACTTACCATTAATGTTATTCTGATTGTTATCATTATTATTGTTTCCATCACTCTTATTTACAACTGTCATTCACTGTTGTTGTTGTGGGCCGCTGTTGTAAGTTGTTTAGTTATCTCATGCTTTTTTCCATTGTTTTTCCTATTATTATTGTCTTCAATTTGGAAAAATTTATTTTTCATGTCTCTTTTCATCCACGTCCTTTTTGTATTCCGGCAAATTCTCTTATATTTTGATAGTATTTCTTATATTTCATTCATTTGCATTATTATTAATTTATTGCTGTGCTATTTGAAAAGTATTATGGTTGTTGTTGATATTGATGCGTTTTCGTGTTGTTACTATTGTTACTGAGCTGCAATACAAATTCATTAATGGGGAAAAAAGAGTGAATGAATTCTTCCATCTCATTTGATTTTGATTATATATATATATATATATATATATATATATATATCACC